AGTCATATTCCACACTACTGCATTAAAAAGAGCAACGCATGCTGAGTAAGTGTTGATATAGTGACCAAAACAGAAGCAAATGGTCAAACTGAGCCAAGCATGGCCGCTGCCTGGTGCTGACAGGTTTGCTATGTGAGAGACTTCACAAGTGGATTCAAGTTCAGTAACATGACAATTGGGAACTGAACTTTAATAAGGAATTCTGAGGAAACATGAGTGATATTTAGCCTCAAAACTGGAAAGGAATTAGTTCTACTGCCTTAGTGTCCAGAGTGTACTCTATCTTTTACACTCCAGACAATTAAATGCATGATCCTTGGAGTCCTCTGTCACCAGCAGTAATTAACCAGTGTGCTGGATGATACCACTGGAACTCACCTAGGACACCGATGAAGGCACTGCCAAGGCCAAAGAGATGGCAAAGACTCCACAGGAACTCGTTTTCTAAATGCTATTTATGGTATTTCTTGCTCTGCTTATTCATGAGTATAAAACTAATTCAGTGCTGCATCAATTTTATTGCTAATAGATCTGCATCCTAAAAAGGATGACGTTTAATTCTTATACAACAATACTTTATCATATCTATGGTAGTGTTAAAAAAATCTGACAGAATTATTTTGTATAATTTTGTTTGGAAGGATGTACATGTTATGTTCTCTCAAGGCAAGTGAAACCTATGTAATTTTTTTCTATTACTAATGGATGTCACTTATATTACTAATAGTAACCCTGGAACTAAAATTATTAGGAAATATTTAAATCTATGACTATAAAATTTATACAGTGATTAATATTATGTGACTTTATATCTTTTATTAGTATATTATAGAACAATATCTACAGATACATAAACTACCCCAGCAATATCTAGGATATTTTACTAGATACAAAGAAGTATTTTGTTTTGTTTTATTTTATTAAATGTTATTTATTTTTATTTTATATGTATCAGTGTTTTGCCTGCACATATGTAGGTGTATCACGTGCATGCCTGATATCTGTGGAGACCAGAAGAGGTTATTGGTTCCCCTGGAACTGGAGTAATGGGCTGTTGTTAGTCATTATATTGGTGCTGTGAACCTAACCTGGGTCATCTAGGAAGAACAATAAGTGCTCTTAACCACTGAGCCATCTCTCCAGCCCCAGACATCTTAATTTTTCAAAAAAGAACCAATCTTTTTAATTTCATGGCTTCTGAAGTAAAATTGAAATGGCATATCTTATATGCACATAACATGCATGCATATACACATACTACATGAAAGACTTATGGAAGCTAATAGAATGATGTGGCAAAAAGAGAAAAGAAAGAGAGGAACATAACAGAGATTAGCCTACCCTAAAAATCTATAGCATCTTTATGACAGAATCAAAGGAATGGGGGGGAGGGGGGATATAAAATATTATCAGTGGTTTTAAAACAAACATCATAAGACTGACCCAAAGACCTGTCAACCTGGACTGGAGTTTCATACTTGCTGAAAGCATTTGTACGTAGAAGGCTTGTAAGGACAGTAAGGCACTTGCACAGCGGCACAGACATGGCAGATACTCAATAAAATAACTAACTTCTGTTGATGTGTTATGTTTGTTGCTATTCACTTACTAACCTAGTAAAAATCAGCCAATAGGTAGTGCCATCGACGTGTAAAACTTGCAAGGTCTTGTCTATTCATAGCGTTCTCTGAAGTCCTCCATATTTTATTGTCTATTCCAACTAACATTTAGCATTGGCTCCATCTTCCTTCTGTTTGTGGTCTATGTCTTCATGGCCTTAATGATATCTAACAATTAAATAATGGCTATACATCTGATGTTTCATTAGATTGTATTGCATCAACTATTTTGACAAAAGGTTCATAAGTTTTTGCTTAAACTAGCTTAATTCCCCACTGCTTGTTAAACAAAGGTCAAACTCTTCTGAAGGAAATTCAAAGCCCAGAGCTGGCAGTCTACTAGACTTTCAGCTCAGCCTTCATTCTAGCCTCCCCACTACCCAGATGAGCCAAACCCATGTACACACCTGTGCCTCCAAACACTTAGCCCTGCCATTCACAATGACGCACACCTTTTTATTTCACACTCCATCAACTCTCTGAGAAATGTTCTCAGAACCCACCACTGCTCTTAGCATAACTATCATCCCAGTTTCCTCAGACAACAAATCCTCTTTCTCCGACAGCCATTTTGTGAAGGTATTTTTCACATCTGTCTTTTGTGAAACTTTCTCAGATTCCCATATGCTGAGTTGAGCACTCCATTTAGTGTCGCTGGTAGGTATTCTACACCAGCACAGGGCACAGATCCCAGAGTCTATATAATTTCCTCCCTGTTTAGCTCCTGTGCTCCTAAAGGATAGAGTCACCTTATTCACCAACTGTTCCTCCCAGAGAATAGCTAGTACTTGACACACAGTTGGTATTCAGTGAAATATTATTAAATCAATAAACAAAGTACAATTGCCTTTTGTCAAATTGGGGGTGGGGGAACATGTATACTTAATGTTCAGTGAAAACACGTGTCTGCTCAGCATTCAGCAGGGCTCTTTCCCTCCATGATCACAGCATAAATAAAAGTGGATGTCAGCAGAGGACAGTGACTTAAGGAGCTGCTTGTGGAGGAGTCCAGCAAAGATAGAAAACAAACTCTTCTGCTTAGTTGAGTGCTTTGGTGAACAGTTTAATCATATTAACTCTAGGAAGCTAATTTACATAGTAGCTGATGCTCTGAAAAATCCTGTGGTACTCAGTAAGGTAAGTCCTCACACAACTACTTTCTCATCACCTCCACTCAGCAACAGACCAACCTCCGCTTTGATCTGGGTGCTTCTTTAGGGAACAACTGTCTGGGAAGATAACAGTCATGTGTATTCTTAAAATCAATTAATGGCACAACAGATTCAGTGCTTTAATCTGCTGACTCTATGTGACAAGGAAGAAAACGTAGCGGCATACCTGTGTTACGGTGTGACTTTACCTGTTTTCACAGTATGAGTTTACCTGTGTTCATAGTATGACTTTACCTGTGCTATGGTGTGACTTTACCTGTTTTCACAGTATGAGTTTACCTGTGTTCACAGTATGACTGCACCTGTGCTATGGTGTGACTTTATCTGTATTCACAGTTTGACTTTACCTGTGCTACAGTGTGACTTTACCTGTTTTCACAGTATGACTTTACCTACGCTATGGTATGACTTTACCTATGTTCACAGTATGACTTTACCTGTGCTACAGCATGACTTTACCTGTGTTCACAGTATGACTTTACCTGTGCTACAGTATGACTTTATCTGTGTTCACAGTATGACTTTACCTGTGCTACAGTATGACTTTACCTGTGTTCACAGTATGACTTTACCTGTGTTCACAGTATGACTTTATCTGTGTTCACAGTATGACTTTATCTGTGTTCATACTTTAACTTCTAGGTGTAGAAGTCCAACCACAAAACAAAGTGTGGGATATAAATTTCTTGCAAATACAGAAAAATAAATGAAGGTTTCACAGAGCACAACCCATTCAGCAAATAGCTCCTGTCAGAGAATGACAGGACAGGGTGGCTGGTGGCTGTCATATAACTGCTCAGTACTCCTATTGCTGAATACAGCTGGACTCTATGGTACACTCAGAGAAAACAAGCAAAAATAAGGAGGACAGCACTGAACTTGCCTTAACCAGCAGTAACTCTGAGTGGCTGGATGCTCTCAAAAAAACTTATGTTTGACAGATTTTGGTACCATTTCTACTGACCACATGGAAATAAAAACAATTAATTAAATGTGCCCTATACTATAAACAATTTAAATTTTTGTTTCACTCATTATTATTTCTGTGTGTGTGTGTGTAAAACTTGCAAGAGCTGATTTTCTCACTCTACTGTGTAGGCCCTAGGGGTCAATCTCAGCCCATCAAGCTTGTGCAGCAAGCATCTTTACCTACCAAGTCATCCTGCTGACCAAAGACTTAAATTAAGAAAAAGCATAATGTTACTATATTATGATACTAAAACAATTTTCATTTCATGTTTTATGCTATAAAACATACAGTAGTTCTGTTATCTTGAAAAAAAATTATAAACTTGTTTTTATTCTATGTGTATGAGTGTTCTGTCTCCATGGGAGTGCACCATGAGCATACAAAGTCTGCAGAGGCCAGAAGGGGGCATTGGATCCCCTGAAACTAGGGTTACCGAAGGCTGTTTGCTGCCATGTGGGTGCTGGGAGTTAACCCGGGTCCTCTTTATGGAGCAACCAGTGCTCATAACCCATGAGCCAGCTCTGCAACCCCCTAAAGTTATCTTTAACATATTTAATACTATTTATAGAAGTTTTAGCCTGTTTTGCCTTCTTTTCCTGTTACCTTATAAGGAAAATACCTATACTAATATGACACAACAAAAATACTCCCATTGTCGGAAAAATAAAATTGATCAGTGAGTAAGAAGGTAACATAGAGATTTCTGGTGCCTAAAAGTGCACTAATTCCCAAGTCAGAAGCTTCCTAACTATTTTGTAAAGTGAACAACAATTTGAGTACTGGATGCAAGAATACAGGCATATCCAATGAATTTTTCTTTTTTTGGTCTTTATTTATTTATTTTGAGACAGGGTCTTCCTGTAGTCCCAGCTGACCTGAACTCACTATGTAGACCAGGCTGGCCTTGCACTCACAGAGATCTGCCTGCCTCTGCCTCCCGAGTGCTGGGACTAAAGGTGTATGCCACCACACCTGGCAATACAATGAATTTTTTAAGTTGTGGGCAAAATGTCCTCATGATCTCATTAAATACCTAGCTCTATTATATTTGTGGTCTTACCATAAGCTGCCAGAATTATTCTAGAAAGCAAGCAAATACTAATTAATAAGTGGCTTTGTTATTGGGGAAGATGACCTGATAACTGCACCACAATTTTTAATTATTTGTTACAGAAAATTATTTATTCTGCATGCTGCTGAAGGTTTTTTGTTTTTTTGTTTTGTTTTGTTTTGTTTTACCTGCAGATTGCCGGAAAGCATTCCTGAAGACCTTTCTTTTTAACTAAAGATCCTTCAAGGCAGTACATAATGATGTCCATAACCTTTGACAGAAAAGACACAGACTTACTATTAACTTCAAATGCTTAATTTTCTAAAATTTAAATGATTAGGTCTCATTTTTGTCCATGAAAATCCCAAATGGTTTGATTTTAGTATCCATCTTAATAAAAATAAAAGCCACATTAAACCCATGTGTCCTCTGGGTTATTATTTGTGTTCTCTGTGAGGAAAACATGAGACAGTGTAGTAAAACAGCAGATTTGCTTCCTCTGAAGCCAGCCCATGTTTATATGCAGGGCTGGGAGAGTTTATCAAAGCACATAATATATCTCATTATAATATAATGAATGGTGGCAGGAACATAACCTTTTAAAATACTTTAATACACATCAATTCCACGTGAATGGTGAATGGATACAGCAATCAATTTGGTTTTTGTGGAAATTTAATTAAGGCCTCCCAAAATGGTATAAAAGTTCATTCATTTTAGTTATCTCTTTGACACATTTTGTCCTTCCCAGTTTCTCTCTCTCCCTCCCCTCCTCTCTTCTCATTTCTTCCTTCTCTCTCTTTTAGGGGAACTAGAATTGAAGATGGTGATGTATGTTAACCCTCAATATTTAATGTAAGGGCAGATGTACCATTAAAAACAGGATATTCTCACCTCCACAAGAAGATCCACAACATCTGTAGGCATCTTTTCAATAAGGATCTCAATGACTCTCAAGATTTCCCCTTTAGCTCTTGCAAGGGTTGTGGTGTGTATATTCTGTTGTGACTGGGTATTTGCTGCAAGAGCTGTATGTCTGTGTACCTGTAAAAACATGCCCATACTGTAGATATGATTATCACTTGACACAGTTTTGGATTTCTAGACACTGGCTTACTTTTCACTTACTAGACACTGGCTTACTTTTCACTTACTATAGATAAACATAATAGAAAACCAGAATTAGTAAAAACAAATGTCTTGGAGGGGGGGGTCAGGAATTATTTTTTAATCACAAAAAATTTCTGAGCATAATAAAAAGCTAAGTAAGTACTGTCTAATAAAATTCTATAACTTCTTGAGGTTTATTTATTTATGATTTAAAAAAAATTTGAGGCAAGACCTCAACCCCAAGTTGGCCTCAAATTCTCTATGTGACCAAAAAAGGTGACCTTGAATTCCTGATTCTCCTGCCTCTACTTCATTTCCCAAGCACTGGTATTATAGATGTGCACCACTATGCCCAGCTAGTGCCTGAGTGTTATATGAGAACTTAGTATTACAATAACATTAAAATTAAAAAAAAATTTTGTATGTGTTTGTGCACATTGAGTACAGTGCCCACGGAGGCCAGAAGAGGACATTCCTTGGAGTTGGAGTTACAGGTGGTTGTGAGCTTCCCAACAGCTCAGGTGATCTAGAAGAGTAGCAAAGAGCTCTTTTCTACTGAGCCATCGCTCCAGCTTCTACCATGATACTTTAAAAAGAATCATACTGGAGATGAATTTGGTAATTTGGTACTAAGGTGTATGTAGGAAATGCAGGAGAAGTAAGTATCAGATATGATCCACAATCTCTAGTAATAATGATGAATGATATGTGCATAACACTTACTGCATTCAGACACTGTTAAAGGCACTGATTAATCAGATTGGAAAATCCAATAGACTATGTCACCCAAAATAATAAACATAGCAAACAAAAAACTGTAAACTCTACAGCTCAGAGGAGAAAGAATATTTGCAAGACTTGGGTGAGCCCTGAATGAGCTATGAAGCCCAGGGACAGGGGTAAGGACATCCCTTGTATTTAACTTGAATAATTTAAGACTAAAAGGTGAAGTAGCAAAGGTTTTTTTTTTTTTTTTTTTTTAAAGAAAGAAATGTGTAGACTGTTAATTAAAATATTTTAAAATTATCTTTCCAATGAAAAGTGGGAGTATTGGTTTTCTAATATTTCATTCAAAAACATTCATACATAAATAGTGCAAAATAAAGTTTAAAAGTATAATCAGTATAAAGACCTGCTTCTTCATGGTAGTCAGTATTATTACTGGTGTACAGTTTACCGGTAATGGGGATGGGGAAAACTAGTTAAAATTTACAAGGCAAATAAAACTGTTCATTTATACAGATATGCACATACACACGTTTGTTACAAATATATAGCATGTACACATGTGTGCAACTGAAAAATAGAAGCTTATTAGCACACTATGCACTGTCAGAAAAATACAACTATACTTCATGAGTTTACTTTAGCTGTGAATTCATGGCCCCACTGCTTCATTATCAACTATACAAACTAGTACTGGGACCATCTTCCTTCCCTTCCAGTGGGCTTCACAGCAAAGACACTTAGAGCAGGCTGTTAAGGATGGCTCAGGGGCAGATGCGGGCCCAATAGGTTTCAGGTTATCAGAGTAGACTCAGAGGTGTTTATTTAGTATCTTAAAAATTCATCATAGCTACAGGAAAAGCAACTCGGACAGAGCCCATACCCTATGGACAGCGAGCGTGCACATTATTATGCCGAAATGGAACAAACCTTTAAAAAAGGAGTTTCTAATTCTTTCCTTTTTCCCTCACTACTAAGACCTATTGGAAAGAGCCTATAATTGGTTCATTGTTCTTTACTAGTCTTTCAGTTAGATGTGGGCAATTAGTTACAACACCAGGAATGTAGGAATCAATTGGCATTCAAGTCTTTATCTGTGACATGGAATAGGAAAATCAATTAGCAAGTTTATGACTTACATTTTTTTGTATACTGTTGGAGAGTCCCAGTTCTAAATAAGTTTAGTTTTGATTACAAGCATTTGCTTAAACTTGAGAAATGTGAATACCTTTATTATCTTCTAATTTGCATACAACTGCTATATTTCATATTGAAAAGCATTGTCAGATATTTACAAGTGTGAGTTAGTTTTGAGGACAGAAATGAATATAAAGATGAGTATGGAATGTACAGCTGTGGAATTCAGTGGTGCACAGATACAGATGCATTCGTTTCAGTGCTCAACTATTAACTTGCTTTGTTTTAGAACTAGAAGGATTATTTGGGGGTCTGAGCCCTCAGTTACAGCATCAAGGAATTTCTCTGAAAGAGAAGATGAGGCACAAGGAGAAGGCGGCTCACCTCTTTGGCTATGGTAGTGATGAAGGCGGGTGGTCTGGCAGTGGCAATGAGAGAGAGGGCATGCCTTGCAGAGCGGGCGGAGTCAGCTGCCGGACTCAGAGGCAGCCCCATTGTGATGCTAAACAGGAATCAGAAAAAAAGGAAAAAAGAAAAGAAGCATTAGAAATATAGACTGAAAAGATTAGACACAGCTTATAATGTCAGTTCAAGGTCAATGGGAGCATTCAAACAGTTAGAAAATAATGGACTTGCAACAATGAACAGTGATTAGGAGTCAGGGTGTTCTGGCATCAAATACAAAATCGAATAATTAACCGTGAAGATTGAAAACAGTATGTGCATCTGTCCAAAGTGTTAAAAATGCCTTGTTAACAAATTATCAAGAACTAGTGCTGAATACTTATCACAAACCTCAGAAAAAGGTAGGAATGAATATTGTACTGGGAGTTTTCAAATGTTGTCCTAAGAAAAGTTAAAGGCAATAATTTGTTTATAAAGTCATGTTTAAAGACTATATTTAAGGCTATATCAATGAAAGGAAGCAAAATCCATCTGAGAATGCCAGCATTATTTTTAGTTTGCAATATCCTCAGCCTTCCTGGTCTACCCCACACTCAGTGCTTGCAGAACCAATCTGCACCCTCTGTTGATACTTATTTAGTGTTGATGCAAAAAACAATGAGCTAAGATTAAATTTCTTTATATAAAGAAAGACAGCACAACACTGTCCAAAGTGCTTATAAAACTATGCACATAATGCAGCAGATCTTTCTAACTGTGAGAATGCTGAGGTCCTGGTAGGGCAGTGTTGCTGCAAACACCCCATCTCTGACAAATGAAAGCTGCAGTTTACCCAGCTAACTTTGGATTACATATACACCAATGTGAAGAGACTTATGATTAAAATATAGCCTAAAAGCCACATATAAACTCTACAGGAGTATTTTATTACATTCAGTTACAATGTTTCTAGCTAAATAATATATATATTTAAACATACACGTGAAGATACATTGAGATTTATTCAAATTAAACAAGTCTATGATCTTCCTGTGCAAACTAGATTATATTACTTGAGAATTCTAAAAAAGTTTATAGCTGACTTAATAATTTTAACTTAGTTGAAATAGAGATGGATTATACAGATATTCTAATCATTATGAAAGGGGATACACTGATTATAGAAATTTCTGCTTTATTTTTTTGTGACGCTTGTGTTGCTTGAAAGCTTATGTATAATTTTTTCATCCTTTTTTTAAACCAAGGGTAGCTGTGAAGCAGAGACTTGAGAGGACTACTCAGAGGTTTGCTTTGATGTTTACCAATGAAGAGAAAATGTGAGTTGCTAGAACAAAAACACATACTGAACCAAATACAAATGGGGAGCAGGAGTGGCTATCCCCACAGAGAGCCTCTAGTATCCTTGGGTATTTACCATAGGTCAGTACATACAGGAAAAAACAGCATATAAGGATTTAGGATTACCATGGTTTCATGAATCTACTTGTGGTCTTGGAACATGTCCTTGTAGAGAAAGGGGGATTACCAACTCAGAATTACTAACCTTTGGAAAAAAATAAAGGGTTGGCAAGGCATAGTGACACTGTGGTGAACTAGATGAATGAATTAGCAGCATGACCAAACTTACTGGCTTTAGATGAATGGCTAGATTGCTTCCCTGAGAGGTTTGTAGTGATATGTTGAAATACTTCGATTTCAGTTGTTTTATTCAATATCAATAGTGGTGTAAATGAAGAATAGGATGCACTGCTATCAACTGGGTGGACCATAATGTTTGAAAGGAAAGCAACCGCATTAAGTAACAGAACTGGGATCCATAAAGCCCCTAAAAGATCAAAGTCAGCTAAGTAAGAAGTCTCAGAGCTGGAGACAGGGCTCAGCAGCTAAGAGCACTTGCTCCTCAATCATAAAGGCTAGAATTTGGACCCTAGCACCCATGTAACAAGGCAGAATCCAAGCAGATGCCTGTAACCGAAGCTCCAAGGAGGGCAGAGACAGGAAGATTGCTGGGGCTTGCTGGTGTGTGAGGGGAAGCAGAGACAGGAGGATTTCTGGGACTTGCTGGTTTCCAGCCTAGCAAAGGCAAGGCCCCAGGTTTAGGAAGAAACCCTGCCATGGAGGAATAGGTAGACTGATGGAAGAGGATACCTGACATTGCCTGTGCTTACTCCCTTCCATACACAAATGTACACAAACAAATAAGAATAAATCTTTAAAAATTAAGGCCATGGGCTTGGAGAGATGGCTCAATGGTGAAGAACTCTGGTTGCTCTTGCAGAGGTCCTGGGTTCAGTTTCCAGCACCCATATGGTGGCTAACAACCTCCAGTTCCAGGAGATCCAATGCCCTCTTCTGGCCTCACTGGCATTGCATGACATGGGTACATTTACATACATGCAGGCAAACATCCATATACATAAAATAAAATAAATTAAAAATTAAGGCCAACTTGGCAGGTATGGCACAGGGAATACATTACTAAACTGAGTTTGAGAACAGCTGAAAGCTAAAGGTGAAGGTAATAGGGGCATACCAGGACTATAAAGTTGGGGGAGGGCTACCCTTGTTGCACCTGTGGATTTGGGGGCCTGTCTCTCCTCTTCCCAGATGACAAATCCCTAGGTGATGAGATGGCTTCTGCAGGACAAGAATTATAGGAACTTTCCATAGCCCAGGAAAATCCACTCTACCCCAAGCTCTGTGATGCTGACACCTTCTGCAGTTGGAAACCTGAGTAAACGCAGCCCAGCAAACCCACCACCACCAAGTCCTCACTTTCACTCAGGGTCAGTTCTCTGCAGGATGAAGAAATGATTAGTGGGAAGGGGAGAGAGAGGGGAAGTAAAAGGAAGGAAGAGAAGAGAGGAGACAGAGGAAGAAAAAGAGACAGAGCCACATACTATATGACAATAGGTACTTCTTCTAACCAAAGATGTCGCTCACAGCCAGAGGTAGAGTGAAAGGAAATGGAACACAGATAAGAAGTCAATGGCTTTAAAATGAAGGCCTAGCCACACATTACCTTTCACTTATCTCGGCAAAGGACCCTGTGAATTTGTAAGCATCAACAAACATTTTATGGGTTGGGTAGCGGAATCTGAAGGGAAACCATAGAGCAATGTAGAATACAGTAAACCAAAGACATGCTGCCACAGTGCTCATTGACTTCGGTGGAGAGGCATCAAGGTATTTAATTGGGTGAATTCCCTCCATCAGTATCTTGCAGTCAGAGTTCAGGACTACAGAATGCAGATAGAGCTTGGGGGCCAGGGATATGTCATCATCTTAGGGTCATCCACAGGGCACAAACTGGAGGGATGAGTGTGAAAGCTGAAAGGTTTCCAGGGCCTAGGAAAGAAGAGGATTTGTCCTTTGGTCTACTCAGTGGATAACCGTCAGAGAAATCTTACCAAAGAATTCATGTGATTTCATGGTTACCTAGCCTTAAAAACCTCCAGTGGCTCCCTATTGCGTCTAAGAAAGCCCTAACAATTCCTAATGCCTAGGTCCTCCATAATCTATTCACTTATTTCTTTTTAATTAATTTATTTTTTAAATGGCAAAAGTTTTATTTATTTTCATGGTGCTGAGGATCAAATTGCAGACAAAATATGAATTACAAAATTAGAAAATAGAAAGAATAAAGAAATACTGAAAAATATATAAACTAGATACACTTTAAATAATTTGTATAAACAATTTAAAGCCATTGCATCAAATTTGAACTCTGATTGGATATTAATAATACTAAGTTATTTTTAGGGGTGGTAATGGCATTGTATTAACAAGTTATTTTTATGTGAGGTAATGGCATATTTTTTTTTTGCCTTTTAACACTGATTTCTTATTTTTTTAAAAATTATTTATTTAATAACCATATAATTAGAAGAAGCATTTCATTACAACAGTATTGACACATTGAATAACAATTTCCTGAGCTAAGATGGATCTCTTTCAAAATTGGCTATAAAGTTTTAGGTTTACAGTTTAATTAATACAGTTATACAATATTGTACTCGGTATAAACCCTATAAGACATAAAATTAAATGAGGTTTTAACCTTTAAAAAAGATCTCCATTATTAAAATATAGTTTCATACAGAAAAATTCATTTTAATGCAATTGACATTAAGATGTTTGCATATGCGTTTCTAATCTCTATATATCAGATTATTACTAATCATAGTCGGTTACTTTCTGAGCTCCTTGGCGTCTGAGCATGGATATAAAGTCATCAGGTAATTTCAATGGTAATGTTTTTCACATCTACTAATTATTAAGGAGCAAATTTTTATGCTTTGAAGAATTATTATTATTTTCCTTCACTAATTTTTAACTGAGTTTTTTTCAATATTAATGCTTTGGAGACTATGCTAAATTCAAAGATGGTCTCTAAGATTCTGTTCCTTTATTTACTCCAAGATTTTGTTCTTCTCCCTTCTTCCCACTGGCACACTTTCATCTGGCCAGTCTCTTCAATTCCTATCTTCTCTCTGTGGTGATCTTCTATTGCTCCAGCACTCAACTGCTTTCTTTTGAAAAAAAAAAAAAAAAAAAAAAAAAAAAAAAAAACCCAACAAACTCAGGATCCATAGAACTGACTTCCATTCTGCCAGACCTTAGGAATCAGTTTTATATCATTCTTTGCCAGTTGAGAGCAAGCATGCCACCTAAACCTGTGTGTTCCCTCTTCCCCCCAGAGTGCCTAACATAGCCCTTGAAAACAGGCAGCTCAATAGTTATGCACTGAAAGAAGCTAGAACTTAAAAAAAAAAATCACTTAAGTTAGCTATTGGGCTGAATTGACCAGGCAATGAAGTCGAAGTAACTGATCTGGTAGTCCCAATAGAGAGAATCTAATTCCATAGGAAGTTATCTTTAAAGTCAAGAATGTGTTGTATGTGTGATATCTTTTAATGTGAGATTCTACCTGAATGAAAGGCTTGGAGGGAAAGGGCTATTTGCCTGTTGCCAGAATCTGACTGTAAAGCCAGAGCTCATTCTATTTCTTTGATCCCGCTCATGTGCAGACCATTTGTTTTACAGTCCTGTGGGATGGGTCTTGGTTTCAGTCTTTATTCTAAAGAAATTGGACAT